TTATTATTCTGATTAATTTGAGTGTTTAAAATTGTTGAATATTTTTGATGTTTATCTTTTATTGTTGTTATAAAAATAATAATCATATTTTATGCATTTTTAAGTCATTTGAAATATTAATTTATATAAAATATGCTTTTTAACATTTTGAAGTTTTTCTTTTTACTCCTTCAATTACTGTTTTATTTTATTTTCAGTAAAAAGACAGTTTTATATTTTCTATGTCTAATTATTTAATTAAACATAACTAAGAATATTCAATGATTAATAGAAATGATGTAAAGAAGAAGCGTATTAATCACATTTTATTTATTATTTATTATATTTTATTATATTCTGAAGTTAAATTAAATAATTGTGTTTTTAGATATTATTGTGGAACTGATGGTTATATTCAAATGGATTAATTAGAATATACAAAGAGAATCACTGAAAGAAATAAGGATATACCCAAGTTATTAAAACGTGATTTTCATTTATTAAGAATGAAGGAAACTAATTGTTGAAATGTTAAAACAAACTAAAGTCAAAACGACATTTTTGAAAAATGTTTAATAATTCTTTCAAAATTAAAAAATGAAATTATGATTTTTAAGAAGAAATAAATGCGTTTTAACCAATTTACAATAATTTATTGAATATTTTTAGAAAAAAACGATTTGATTAAAAATAGAATAAATAAAAATAATTCAATGTAAATTCTTGTTGACATTGTTTTATCTTTTTGTTTGAATTACTGCGAGTTTATTATAACAACTTAAAATAAAAAAGAATTTAATAAAAAATTCTAATTTTTCCAAAAATAGATTATAATAATTAAGAAACAATTTCAAATGAGAATAATGAAGAATTTAACTCGTAAGAAAATAGTTAATGATAATTAATAAAATAATTATTAAACTTTCAGTTAAGGAAAATAATCAAAAGAGAAGTTAAATAAAGAATAACAGTAATGAAAAATGCAAATGACGAATTAATAAAAAAATAATGAAAAATATATAAAATTAGACATTGATTTTTGAAATAATCAAAAATTTCAGTACTTTCCAACGTCACAATTTTGAATCAGTAAATAAAATCGGTTTTGATCCATAAAACTATTTTTTCGATATTTA